ATGGTAGTTTTATTTTTAATTTTTTGAGGAATCTCCATACTGTTTTCCACAGTGGCTGCACCAGTTTGCATTCCCACCAGCAGTGTATGAGGGTTCCTTATAAAGGTAATTTTTGAGCTAAGTAAAGTCATTTTTTGGACAGTAGTTTTAACTTTCATAGCATTCGGAAGCTTTAGACTGCCATGTACACAGTATTTCAGCATTTTTGAAGGTGATTCTATTTATGAGACTCCTCCTACCTGTCTCTGAAGTTCTGCCAGGTTGTAAGGTAAGGCCCCCTCAGCCAGTGGGGCTATTCTCTCAATATGTGCCAAAGTCAAGTGCCCTGTAGCATTATATAAGTCTGCAAGCTGGTATAGGATATCAATTTCTAGTGGGGTGACTTGGCCATAGCGTATGGCACTCTGGGCGAATTCCTCCTTGGTGACTTCAACATCTTTCCTTGTGCCAGCTAGAGTGCTATATATCTTACGAACAAGCTCCATGTTATTCAGTAAGGAGTTAAAGGCATTGAAGTAGGACAAGCTAACCTGGTGTGAGATGCTTCCTCCAGCTGCTGAAACTAAGTTCTCCTCCACGAAGGGAGTAAGCATGTGAGACCGAATGGTAACCATGATGTCACTGAAATCCAGACCAGAAATCAGGCCACTTTTGCTTTTGTCTTTCAGTGCAAAGGCTTGTCTTGCATGTTCCAATTGTAGCTCCTGGAGAAACTGTGTGAACTCTGTGTAGTTAAGATGCTTCTTCCGATTATGCCCAAAATGTAGTCGGATAAATTCACAGTCCCAGTTAAAAGGGATATGATGATGAATAATAGTCTGTCCAAAAATTTCTTTGACATTTTCAAATGTCACCTCTCCATTTCCACTCTTGTCAAACAATTGGAAAGCCACTATGAACATGGAATCCGGAGCACATAAAACAGATTCAAATGCCAAAAACTCTTGATAGGAGATCAACCCATCCTTGGTTTGATCGGCTACTCCTGCTAAGAGCTGCACAATCTTCGGATTGCTATTTGGATCATTATACAGTCCAAGATAGCGCTGGACAAAATCTTCCGGGGTCATGTAATGTTCTCCATCAACCTCAGTACTGGCATACTGCAGGAATATGTTTCTTAACTCTTGAGGATCACCTTGCTTGGTTGTCTTGACCGCCATGCTGTGCTCGGAAGCCGGGGACGAGCAAGTGAGCGAGCAGGGCTTATTTTCTTTCTTTTAACCTCAGAAATTTATTACTTTAAAAATTGTATCTAGAATCCATGTATATATAGAGAGAGAGTCAAGGGGGATTACATGTTAACTTAGAATCTGTATTGCTAAAGTCTCTCAATTAATTTTTCCCAAGAGAAAATTTCACCTGTCAGTCATTGGAATAATCTGTACTGTTTTTTTTTTTTTTGAGGAGGAGGATTAGCCCTGAGCTAACATCTGCTGCCAATCCTCCTCTTTTTGCCGATGAAGACTGGCCCTGAGCTAACATCCTTGCCCCCATCTTCCTCTACTGTATATGTGGGACGCCTGCCACAGCATGGCTTGACAAGTGGTGCCATGTCCACACTTGGGAACCAAAGTGGGGAACCCTGGGCCGTCAAAGCGGAACGTGTGCACTTAACTGCTGCGTCATCAGGCCGGCCCCTAATCTTTACTTATAGTAGGTAATGGAATACAATTTCTAAAGAAATATTTGATTAAATCAATAGCCACTTTCATAAAATCAGTGCTATTCTCAGGAGATTATTTTTTTCTTTTGAACAGCAAATCAATATAAACTAATAGGAGGTTAACAACATGAATTTCTCATAGAGAAATCAAGCAGTCCCTATATAATCAATGACATTTTTTGGTTGACCAGGATGAGAAGGAGGAAGAGGAGTAAAAGGTAAAAGTCACCCACATGAATGAACCCAGTAGACATGATCGAATTTGACTTCTAAAAGTCTTTGTCCAAGCTTCACAACAAAGATTATTAAAATAATTGATTCACTGCTCTGATAGATTAGATCATTCTTCATTAATACTGACTCTCCCCGCCGCCCAGCCCTCTGGGAGAAGTACCCTCTCCCTCTCTTCCACTCTGTGACTTAGACTTCGCCATGTGACTTGCTCTGGACAATGGCATGTTAGAGGACACGACCCAAGCAAAGATTTGAAATGTGTTCACGTGATTGGGATTGCTCCCGTGTGCTTGTGTCATCAGAAATAGAGTTGCCAGCTAAAATATATTTATTAAGTCGGAATTTCAGATCAACAACAAATAAATTTGTAATATAAGTATGCCCCGTGCATGCTCAGACATACTTATACTAAAGATTTATTTGCTGTTTCTCTGAAATTCAAATTTAGCTGAGAATCTGTACTTTTATTCGCTAAATCTGGCAACTCTAATTTGGAAGAAGTCCCAAACCAACCCCTAGCCAGAACCCAGGACCAGCCTTAATGAGTCAAGACCCAACTGACCTGCAGAAATGTGACCAAGAAATAAACACTTGTGATGGTATGCTCTAAGAGTTTGTGGTTGCTTGCTATACAGCAAGAGCTGACTAATTCAACCGTGGTGACAATGAGAAACCAGCTTAATACACCAAGCAGTAAGATTGCAGATAGTTTTCCATAAATAAAATAACAACAGGAGAACGCCCAAGTGTTTGTGCTGGGTTGGTTTTATTTTAATAAACTTCCTGGAGAACATAGGTTAATAAATCTCTAGGTTTATAGCTAAAATTAAGCTCTCAAGGATAATAAAAAGTGAAGCTATATATGTAAAATTGGAGGAAAATCCCAGCCGTTTTTGTAAGCATATTTGTTAAAGCACAAGTTTATGGGTGGGACATGCTTGAGTTGAATCCAAACTCTGCTGTTTAAGAGCTGTGTGACCTCAGGCAAACTCGTTACCCTCATATTCAGATTCCTCACCTACAAAGTGGAGAAAACAATCCCTACCTCAGTTGACTATGATGATGATTAATCAGAGAAGACAGGTAAAGTGGCTATTATAGTTCCTGGAACATACCAAATCCTCAATAAATGGTAACTTAAAGTTTTTGCATAGTAGGAGGAAGAAATGGCAGCTAATATCTAGCATCAACAAAAAAACCCCCAATACATCCAGAAGGAGCTATTATAAACTGTTTTTAGAGGACAAGGAGTGTGAGCTTCCAGTAAGAGCCTAGTTAGAAAAGAAAATAAGATTCCTTGTAAAACTATGATACCAGGCAGTAGTTCAAAGGACTGTTGAGGCCAAAAATGTCCACAGAACATTGGTCATAACTAAACAGTCTATTTGTAAACAAATCAGAAAGCATTATCTTTATACCAAATTATAATATAATTTTGCCTAGAATAAAGCATGTAATTCTAGCCATATTATCTCAGAGAATTATTTAGTCTGTACAGAAAAACATCAACTATTATTATGAAAGGAGACAAGAGGGAATCTTGGCATGAGGAATGAGGGAATGAATTTGTTATAATTCACATCTGTGATATCTTCCATGGTATCATCAATGCAAAAATGGAACTAACCCCCATGACAACAGCAAAAAGCGCCCCCCTCCCCAAAGCCTGAGAGGGTAATTTTAGGACAAATGATGTACAAAAAATATTTGAGTGGTGGCTTACAAGCTCTTGCCCCTCCTTTTTTCGTGTAGTGCAGTGGGGTTCACTGGACAGGATTCTTTTTTTTTTTTCAAATTTAAAGGAAAATGTAGATCTACTTCATAAATAAGAAGTGAATTTATGGAACTCATCTTGAAAGGTAATGTATAGGGTGAAGGTACAAATAAATAATGAGAAAAGGATTTATACAAGCGAATATCTCACAGTGCCACGATGAGTTACCAAGCGAAACCAGACTACACCTTGAGACTGGCATCAGGGAAATGAGCGGGCCCCCATCTGGCCACCTTGGTTGATCCTCAAGGGGAAGCCTGTGCTCTGGTGCCCAGCCTGATGCAGCATGGAAGTCCGGAGGCCCTCTCAGATCACCTATCATTGGGGTAAAACAGTGCCCTAATTCTCTTCTCGATCACTTTGAATGATACTACTTACTTTAAGGCTTGAGACCTTCTCTGTCCTGTCTGAAGACTCTGGACTACTCGAGACCGATAAACATAAAACTCACAGAGGCCGCTACTGAGGAACGAAGACACCGGACCCCAGACCTCATTCTGTGGCCTCATTGTGTGACTGTGCTGAACACACCCGATCTCTCCTTAAAATGAGGGGACAGGCCTATATATCCCTGACGGTCCCTTCCTGGATCCCACACATGCAGTGACTAACCCCAAATAAATTACAAAGATAAAAACTGCAATGCATCCTTGATGAGGGCTTTACAATCAAGGCAGAAGTGGAGTTTGGCTTAGAAGGATGAGGAGGTCATTCCAGGCGAATGGAAAGACATCAACAACCAGCACAGGACAGCCCAGGCCCTTTTGGGGGAGAGTGACTAAACCAGGGTGGCCGGGCTCCAGGTGCCATGTGGTTCCTTCTCATATGAAAAACCACAAACCTGTCTTCCAGTGAGTCTTGGAAGGAGACATCTGGGAAGGTGGCTGTAGGTCTGCACTGGAGTGCTGCTGTTAACCTGTCACTGCCATGAGCAGGGGTGGAAACAGGGCGAGTCACCGTTTGGGGGTAATTATGAGAGTCTTTGAAGTCAAGGAACAAAATGCTAACTTCAGGGCCAAAGGGCAAAGTGATTAGATACTATTCTAATTTAGAAAACACATTCTTTTGTCTTTTATGAGTCATGAAAATTTCAAAGGGAAATTCATCAGAATCAAATCCAATGTTTACATTTGGTTAGAATAAACAATACGAGAAAATGATGAATATTTGTGGTGTGAGTGTGTGGATACATATGAGGTCAAGGATTACCAAAAACACCATTCGTCTACTATTAAATTCTCACTTAATTGGCCAGAAGATTAACGAGGAAGTGGCCATGTGTCCTGGGGGTCATCAGCACCAGGCCAGGGTATATAAAGGGCCCAGAGCAGGAGGAAGACATTCACACCTGAGAACACTCAACTCCTCTCACCAGCCCAACCCAGCCCAGACCCAGACACTACCATGACAGGCTCCTGCTGTGGCTCCACCTTCTCCTCCCTGAGTCTTGGGAGAGGCTGCTGCCAGCCCTGCTTCCGCCGCAACCCCTGCTGCTGCCGCCCCGTGTCCTGCCAGACCACCGTGTGCCGCCCCGTGACCTGCGTGCCCCGCTACACGCGCTCCATCTGCGAGCCCTGCCGCCGCCCCATCTGCTGTGACCCCTGCTCCCTGCAGGAGGGCTGCTGCCGCCCCATCAGCTGCTGCCCCACGTCCTGCACGGCCGTGGTCTGCCGGCCCTGCTGCTGGGCCTCCACCTGCTGCCAGCCCATCTCTGTGCAGTCCCCCTGCTGCCGGCCCCGCTTCTGCCAGCCGGCCCCCTGCCGCACTGTCTGCAGGACCTCCCGCTGCTGAAACCCCACCGTACCCGCAGAACGACATGCTGGAGCCTATCACCTATTCTGCATTTTAATCAAGTTGAAAGAAAAAAGATTTTTTTCATAAGGTGGCAGTAGTCATTTTTACATCTTGCATGTGGATATAGCATGATGCACAAGCAGATGTCTATCACCACCCCCACCAAATTCCCAGGTGTCTCCGTCAGCAGAAGTCACCAAGGATGGTAAGTCCAACTTTAAAAGTCCCCAGAGGGGACTTCGCAAACCCATCCTGAAATCCGGACGCTACTCAAACCCTCCCCATCATCTTTAATAATGTGCTGCTCTTTTGTTTTCAATAAATTAATTTTCCTGCAACCCTCCTGCTATCTGACTCATTCATTAGTGCCTGTTTATTAGTGTACACAGATGAACAGACAATGAATAGGAAGAAAGGTGAAGGGGAAGAAGGTAGAAGAGATGGAGAGAATGAGGAAGACAGAAGAGAGAAAGGGAGAGGTGCTAGGAATCCTGGTGCGAGTCTTGGAAGACGATACAGGACTGCCAGCCTGGTGCTCAGACTGCTCACGTGGTAGGGAATCTGTGCACACCAGGTCCTCTGTGGCACGTTCTTTGCCCACATCTCCAGGTTCATGTCTCAACGCTCCCCAGTAAGTTTCACTTCAAGCAAAACTGAACTTCTCACAGTGTCTGCAATTCACATGCCATGCAGGTCCATATGTCTTTACTTTTGTCTTGTTCTTCCATTTATCTGGAATATCCTCTTAACTACCCCTTCCCTCCACCTTCTCCACCTACCTAACTCTGAGTCATTTCCAAGATTCTTGTCCTAACGCCTCCACCACACACACACACAGACACACAGGTAGTTTAGGTGCCCTTAACGTGTGCCAATAGCATCCTGTGCTTACATCCCTCCCCATAAGGCATTGTATTGAGATTATCTATTTCTCTGTCTCCAACGAGGGGACCACAGTTTATTTATCTTGGCTCCCAGTACTGAGCTCAGTGTCTGGTATATAGTTGGTACTTGATTTCTATGTGTTGAGTCAAACTAAACTGGAAAGGAATTGTCTTTATGACAAGAATTCCAAAAGGTAGATATTTACTTAAAGCAAAACTTTGCATCAGTATAACTTAACTTCTCTGACCCTCAGGTTTCCTCATCTGCAAAATGTGAAAATTAACACTTATCAATGTAGCTTGCTGGAAAAGTTAAGTGATTTTATGTATGTGAAGTGCCCGGCACAGAGTAAGCACCCAGGACCATTTATTTCTATTCCTTGTTGCACATTGGAGCATCACTGTATAAAATAGGCTCGAAAGACGTGCTATGTATTACATATCATGTCATTGAGAGTGGGAAAGGATTCAGCGGAAGGTGGTTGTTTTATTTCCCCAGGATAGTCCACATTTCCTGCAGAAACAGATTTCCTGATAGATATAATAAAGAAGACAAAAGAATTCATCATCGCATCGAGGCTGTCTCAGAATGAAAGGGCTCTTCAAAAGTTGATCTTCGAGTCCATAGGAAAGAGTCTAGATCAGAGGATTTATGATAGAGGTTTAGCATCAAGAGCGAAGAAGAGCTGGGGCTAATATATGCATCTGATAGACTTTTCCTTTCACCATGAACCAGCCAAAGGGATAATCAACTCAAAGCTGTAAGAGACTCCAAAAGATTACCTGGCTTAGTGCTCCCTGGTGTTAGGCAGATGGAGATCTAAGCCACTTAGAAGAGAGATTTATATTTTAAATTCCAGAAATAAATCCCACCAGCTCCCTGATCATCTAGAGTTTTCCTGTCCTTTTCAATTGAAATATTTTCTCTTTTCAATCAATGATGATATCCATCTCTTCTGTCTTCCACGTTGGTACGGATTTTATGATAAACCTGGCCTGTAAAGAACACCAGGCACGAAGACTTTTCCCATTTTACAGATGAGAGAACTGGGGCTGGCAGGGCGTTGGTGTTTGCTCTAAGCTACATGATTGCTAGGTGGTGGAGGAGGGGTCTGAATCCTGCCTTGTCTTCCCCATCCTCCTCCTGCCCTCTCTCCCTCAATCTTCCCCGTCCCCATCTCTGACTCTTGTGATTGGAGGATATTTTAAAGATCATCTTGGAGAACAGGGAATGTGTATACTGTTTTCAGAATTTTAAAATTTTCCTAACATCCAGTGGCCGCCAAACTAATTCCTAACAAAACACAACTCATAAAACTATTAAGATGAAGGCATGTTTCACCAAAACAAAAAGTCATCAACACTACATTCTTTTTCCACCCAACCACAAAAATCCCTTCGTTTATCACCACCATGGTGAACAATTGCTTGCTCCCACTCTGGTGATTATGATCCTGAAGGATGTCTGGAATTCCAATAATGTGACTGAAAAAGCCCGCATGGTAAAGACCAGGGACACATCTCTTGTCCAACAAGCTTAGGTCCATCAGTGTGCCACAGCAGGAAAGACCACACAGCATAGGACCACAGGGCATCTCACGACATGAAGGAGAAGAAAAGGTTTTTATAGGATTTTGAGGATTGGTGGAGTTTAGGTAAAATTACATGAAATGGTTTCTGATAGGCTCAAAGCAGAACGAGGCTTTGCACAAAAGAGTTAACATCAGGACTGGGCTGTGAAAAGGACTTATGGTCCTCTTTCTTTGGAAACTACATAGTTAAAATAAATGCAGAATGTCATGTCTGAACATCTCTTATCTGAAACTCTACCTCTGGGTTGGATATTGAGGTTGCTTCTCTGTGTTAAGGTGACTAAGATCCTGTCCAGGCGATAGTGGCATGTTCCCTTCTTACTGACATGATTTCAAACGGCAAAGATTCTAACAGTCTATGAGTTTATAATACAAGATTCTTAGTACCATGTCCTTGAGTTAGTTAACAAAAGCAGTGAGTTTACAGACGTATTCCTATTGCTAACATTTGGATCTCTGTATATGTTCTAAGCCAAATAACAATATGGAAACCATAAATCAAGCAAGTTCTTATTTTATTTCACTAGATGGCATCGAATTTTTGATAACTACTACTCCATGTTCATGATTCTGAAGTGACTCAAAATTGGAAAAAGACCAGGGGTCACTCATCCGTGTTTATACTCAACAGAAAACCTGCAGTATTGGCAAAGCTCTGCCACTCTTTTATCTGGACAACCTGGAGAAGTCATTTCACAAATCTGGCCTTCCCAAAACTGTGATGGATTATGATGGGTCACAAATTCAAAGGCCTTCAAGGATCAGAGCTATGGTGGACCACAGAGTGTACAAAAAATGACCACACCAAACAAAACACACTTTGGAGACAAATTTGGTCTGAGGGCCATCAGCAATACTTGGACAATGTTATTTTTAACCTACCTTCCAACTATAAATTCATTTTCTATACCCACACTTTTATGAGCTGTGGGTGAAAAAGACAAAGCTATTTTATCAGCCATCAGTTCATTAATTCCTCTTGTCTCTTTCAGAAGCTCACCTTCACATTTCGTATGCAATCAAAACCCTCAGCCAATAAACCAAAGCTACTCCTACAGAAAGATAATTGATTCTTTTATAAGTATTTTCAACGTTTTGAAGAAACTCAATACAAGTGCTTGTGTCACACCTAGAAAGCAAGAAATACTCCAATTTCAATTTTATTTCTAAGACTATGCTCAGGGAGGGGCATGAAAAAGGTACAATATGAATAAAATCCTCATTTAGTTTGCCCTTATTATCCCATGCAAAGTTCTTCCCCTTTAATTGCTTTCCCTGCCTTTGTCTTGCCTTCCTAAAATTTGTAGTTACTGTGTGATAAGAAACTATAGTATAGCACTGCTTACATAGTAAGCATCTCATAAGTTACTATGAGTTATCAGCCAACTCAGGTTTCTAAACAATATCCCTTTATCGACTGGGTGTTTATTTCCATATAAATAATAAGTTTATGTGAAGCAATATGTTGTTTTACAGACGCACTGGGCTGTTCTTTCCACAGCAGAATTGGTACACATCTCCTTTTATGTGCCATTTTGGTTTTTTGGAAATTCTTGCTTCATCTCAAGGTCAATCAGAAACCAGGCCCATAACCTCATGAACATTAGAGTCTCACGCTTAATCATGGATGGTGAACAAGAGGAAAGTGTGACAATGGCGACACTGGATTCTTCAAACTTCAACTTGTCACACGACGCGGTTGGGAAGGATTGGCTACTCAATGAGTAATGTTTCTGATGATACAAATCATCAAGTATTCATTTCAAGGGAAAAAGCAGACACAAAGAAAGGAAAGCATCCTTCAGTGATGTTGGAATTGTTGCCTCAGCAAGTGAATCCAGCACTCTAAGTTCTCATTACAATGGCCAAACACAACTCCGGGAAGTGACCACGTGTCCTGGGGGTCATCAGCATCCACCAGGGTATATAAAGGGCCCAGAGCAGGAGGAAGACATTCACACCTGAGAACACTCAACTCCTCTCACCAGCCCAACCCAGCCCAGACCCAGACACCACCATGACAGGCTCCTGCTGTGGCTCCACCTTCTCCTCCCTGAGCCTTGGGAGAGGCTGCTGCCAGCCCTGCTTCCGCCGCAACCCCTGCTGCTGCCGCCCCGTGTCCTGCCAGACAACCGTGTGCCGGCCCGTGACCTGCGTGCCCCGCTACACGCGCTCCATCTGCAAGCCCTGCCGCCGCCCCATCTGCTGTGACCCCTGCTCCCTGCAGGAGGGCTGCTGCCGCCCCATCAGCTGCTGCCCCACGTCCTGCACGGCCGTGGTCTGCCGGCCCTGCTGCTGGGCCTCCACCCGCTGCCGGCCCATCTCTGTGCAGTCCCCCTGCTGCCGGCCCCGCTTCTGCCAGCTGGCCCCCTGCCGCACTGTCTGCAGGACCTCCCGCTGCTGAGCAGCAGGAAACATTCCCAGGTGTTCAGAACCGTGTGCAAACTCTTCCCATTCCTGATGGATCAGATGAAAGACACTACATTTGCAACCTAACTGCTCTTCAATAACTAACTCAACAGTAACTGTCTATCCGTTTTCCCACAATTACGCAGCTAATCCTGGCCCTCTTTGACAATCTTTAGAAAAATTCCTGCTTTCATCATTTGAAGTCCTGGCTTGAAAAAATGAGCAAACAAAGATCAAAGTTCCTCTTGAATGGAGCTCTATCCCCCGACTCATCATCACCTCTCTACTATTTCAAGATGAGATATATCTCCAGAACAATATTGCATTTATGCTTGGTTTTTGCATAGTAAAATAATAAAATTTTATTTCTGGGAAGCAAATGCGTTTCTCTTTGTTGTTTGTTAATCTTCAAAAGCTTATTTTAGCTTAAGTTATGGTATGCAGAATCAGAAGAATCAAAGGAAGAAGGATTTTCGAAGGACAATTTTTCTATCTTTAGGAACAATTCAGGCGCAAGGTCTATAATTAGCAATTCAAATAATTCAGACCGTCTTATGCGAAGCACCTTCATATTTCAAGTCACATGTTTTGTGGCGATGCTGGGGAAATGGAGAGAATACAGCAGGTCTCTCTGGTCATGAACTTGACTCACGAATCATCCACACACATGTGATAAGGTGGAGGAAGCCTAAGTCTGAGCCCCGTTTGTTCCCTGATTTAGGAAACTATGCAGAGATGAACATCATTCGGTCCCCAGGAATTCCTACCCACTGAATACCTCTGCTGGAAGAGCCACTGTCCCATCTCTTCCACGGCTCCCTCCAGCACCACTAAGGCCAGTTCTGATTCCAGTGGAGTCACTGCTGTTGAGAGGAGAGGCAGAAGCGTAGCTAGCTTGGTTGGAACCATTCTAATTTAGAACTCCAAGCAATTTTACCATTAAAACAATGCCAATGTAGTTAAAATAGTGATAACGTTAACCACACTAGATATGTTTTTGTTGTTGTTAAACACTTTTAGGCTGGGTCGGGAAACTAACCACTATTGTTTCCTGGAGAAATATATATGCAGTTCCTAACATCCAATCTAAAAGAGATTTTGGAATGTGCTGCTTATATGCTTGGGCATCTCTACCTGTCCAGGGAGACGAGTCAGGCAATTAAGCATTGTGAAGGCCTGGATCTTGATTGACTTTGTTCACTACTGGATTCCCACTGTTCCGCACAGTATGTGGCACATAGCATATAATCAGAAATTATTTGTTGAATGGTTGAGTAAGTTCCAAGGGTTTGGAAGAGAGAAAGACTTCATCCCACCCTAGCTCTCTTATCCTGCTGGACATGTGCATTCTTATAATAAAACAATAAACAATCTCATGAAGAAAGTGTTTTTTTTTGAAATACGGTAAAAGTTTCTCAAGAAGTAGCTCATTATATTAAAAATTTTAGCATTGTCAGTATGTGCACAGTGGAATTTTCTCTTTATTAAGGATTTGATAGTTTACCAAGGGATGGGCTCACAAGTCCAATTTCTTTCTACATACTCTTGATCACTATTTTTTAAATTCTCTAACTACATCTGTTTTCCTTCATCCCAGAATCTTCCTTGTTAGCCTTCTAGAGACTTCCTCATCTTGCAATATTTTCTCAGATGTAGAGTGCTTTATTTTCTCCCAAGCTCATCATTGTTATTGGATCCTGTTTGTTTCCACAGTAACACCATGCCCTGGTCAGCCACAGTGGCTGGTGCAGGTCGGCGTAAGCGGCAAGGGACTGGGCAAGTAGAACCATCAAGAAGAAGACTGAATATACAACTATGCACTGGGGCTTGGGGGAGGGAAAAAAGAAGAGGAAGACTGGCAACAGATGTTAGCTCAGGGCCAATCTTTCCTACCAAAAAAAAAGAAGAAGAAGAAGCCTTAAACTGAAGCCTTCAACCACAGACGTAGAACAGACTTCGTCGTAAAGCAAAAGGTCGGAACCAAGCAAATTCAGGGGCAGAAGCTCCAAAATGGGGAAGTGCCATGATTTTCCTACAGACCCTGACAGTTTGAAACCATTGAAAATCACAACCGGTTCTATAAGCAGGAATGAGCTCAAGCATAGTCCATGGGGAGACACTGGAGCAAGTGACTCTGGGGTTTGGGCGAGGTAGACCTGAAGACCGCCTCTGACTGCATCACTGCCTGGCGGTTTTGTGATGCGGGCAGACTGAGCCTCCCTCTAGATGGCGGCTTTGTTCATAGTGCCCCGGGACCGCACAACTGTGTCCAGCTTTGACGCCGTCTCCTTCAGGCGTGCTTTGGAATTTGAGAAGACGGTGTGGGAGATAATTCCTCCAATTCCTGAGGATTTGGGTAAGACACAGAATCCCTTCAGGTGACTGTAAAAATCAGCCATTTCAGTAATAAAATAAGTAAAATCCCTGTTTTAAAATTAAATTCACTGTTAAAATTCCTAAATAAAACAGACATTACTTAATGACAGGGAATGTAGAACCCACAATTCCTTTCTTCAACTTCTCGGGCTTACAAATATTATTCCCACAGAAGGTTTTAGAATCAGCGTTGGCTCCAACATTACTAGGTGTATGACCTTAGGCAAGTTACTTATCTGGTTCTTTATGTGTAAAATGAGGAATATAATAATACCTACCTCATAGGATTATTATGAAGAATGAATTAATACATTTATTTCTTTTAGCATAGTGCTTGGAACATAGTTAGAACTCAATGATACTGGCTATCAGGAGGATTATAAATAATGAAATTCACCTTGGTTTGGAAAGATATGACTATGGAAATCAATGAGCACGTACCAAAGCCAAAAAAAAGCTGAACTCGTAGAATACTGGTTCCCGTAGGCTGGGGTATGGGGGCAAGGGGAGACAATTTTTTAAAAGTACAATGGTGGTTGCCAGGGACTGGAGAAAGGGGGTCATGGAGAGTTACTGTTTGATGGGGACAGAGTTTCAGTTTTGCGAGATGAAAGAGTTCTGGAGATGGATGGTGCTGACGTTGCACAACAATATGTGTATTTAATGCCACTGAACTCTGCACACAAAAATGGCTAAGATAGTAAATTTACCAAAATAAAAAAATTGGAAAAAACCCCACAAACACTGATGATAGAGGTCTACCAAGATGCATTCCCGTAGCTCCAAAAAGTGGACTGGAAAATTCTTCTTTGACTGACAAACCGTGACTTTTGCAATATCCCTGTAGTACTGTTCTGACCTCGTTTGGCCCAGGAGGCTCAGCAGTAGAAAAGGACACTCCCGCCTTGGGGAATTCACCTCCACTCTAAGCAACCCAAAGAGAATGACAGTGGCTCTGTGCCATCAAGACATCAACTGGCAAAAGCATCCCTGAATTATCAAGATAATTGGAGGCTTTGAGGTTAGGGTCGTTAAGTTCTTATTTGAAATATAAATAGCAAAATATAATGAGTTTCTACTAAATGAGGAAAGCACAGTCTTTTATGAGTATCTGAGCACCTCAAAAAAAATGTCTAGAGAACTTACTAACCTGCCAATGCTATTTCAAAAAGAATAAACAAACAGGAGGAAATGACCATGTGTCCTGGGGGTCATCAGCACCCTGCCAGGGTATATAAAGGGCCCAGAGCAGGAGGAAGACATTCACACCTGAGAACACTCAACTACTCTCACCAGCCCAACCCAGCCCAGACCCAGACACCACCATGACAGGCTCCTGCTGTGGCTCCACCTTCTCCTCCCTGAGCCTTGGGAGAGGCTGCTGCCAGCCCTGCTTCCGCCGCAACCCCTGCTGCTGCCGCCCCGTGTCCTGCCAGACCACCGTGTGCCGGCCCGTGACCTGCGTGCCCCGCTACACGCGCTCCATCTGCGAGCCCTGCCGCCGCCCCATCTGCTGTGACCCCTGCTCCCTGCAGGAGGGCTGCTGCCGCCCCATCAGCTGCTGCCCCACGTCCTGCACGGCCGTGGTCTGCCGGCCCTGCTGCTGGGCCTCCACCTGCTGCCAGCCCATCTCTGTGCAGTCCCCCTGCTGCCGGCCCCGCTTCTGCCAGCCGGCCCCCTGCCGCACTGTCTGCAGGACCTCCCGCTGCTGAGCAGGGCATCATCACTAAGGGTCCCCCAGTACATGGCCGGGTCCATTCTGATGTCACTCAGCACTTCTTGGCAGAATGACATGCATTTTCTTGAAAAGCCCATTCCTCACCTCTTCAAACAGCTCAAGTAGGCACTGAAAACATCTTTTCAGACTAACTACTGATGAAGAGTACCTGTCCTCTCAAGACCCCTGTGTAACTCTTATATCATGTTGTCTGTTTCCTAATAAACTTAGTACTCCCAGCATAAAAATCATGGTCTTTGTGATATTCCTTTTGGTAGCTTCTGTGACTCTGTTTTGTCCAGAGATATTCAAAGCAAAATAGAGAATAATCTTCTTAAATCGTTCTCTGAAATAACCTAAGTCTGGGTGGTTTCCTTATTATCCTTCTAAATGGCATTTATAGGGCACAGTAGCTGAGTGAGGAAGATGGGCATGGCTATATCTTCATTGTGTATACAGAGTCACTTGTGCCCACAATCCAGACACACGGCAAACATCTGAGAAACGTCCTTCAGCAATGACCAGTTAGGAGGCTGCATCTGGGTGGACACATATTCTGAGTCGGAGGGTTTGTTCACTGAATCGACACCTGTTCACACATCACAGAAAGCCCAGATGTTAGAGATGGAAGGAACCTTGGGTAACGTCTGACCATCCACCTGTTTTTGAAGTTGAAGAGCAATGAGTAATGGAAGATTAAATAAGTTACTCACTAATAGAATTATAATGGAATTATAACCACTGATGCTCAGGAAGGACCCAGGAGAATGCAAACCTCCTGACACGGAGCCTTTAGGTCAAACACTCCCTCCTAGTGTGGGAGGAAACACATTTCTCCGCCCGGAGTGACTGTGTTCTTTTGGCTTTTGTGCCCAAGTCTAACTGCTGCTTCGGATAATGCTCGCCCTTCTACGCATTATAGATCCGATCATTATTTAGAACGTTATTCACAAAGTCGACACATGTGGACATCAGATCACACTGACTCTTGAGGGCTGCTTATCTTTACGCTCAGGAATTGAGAACAGATGGCTCGCTCCAGTAAAGTAATCAATCACTGTCAATTTACACATGATTATTGAACTTCTGCGAGGAATAAGGCATTTAGTTGACCACCCTGAGGGAATATAAAGGAATAAGAGAGGCCTTCTGCTTCAAAGATGTTATAATTTACTTAGGGAGATGAGGCATAAATAAGAAAAAAGTCAAATAGTATATAATTTAAGCAATATAATTGTAGAAGAAATGCCGAAAATAGTTGAAGATTGTAAACCTATTAGGAAACATCATGCAATTGTTCTGTCATATATTTAAGTAAAAAATAAGTAAGCTATAAAATAAAATATTAAATTATTTTGTGAGGAAAAATGTGTTCTGTGTGTCTATCTATGTTTACGCCTAAAAAAATATCTAGAACATTATGCAATAAAATCTAACTGGGGATAATATTCATTTTATTCTTTATATTTTTCTTAATTACATAATTTCTTAAGTGAATGTATATTTTATTTTTTAAATGTGCTGTCTAAAATCTACATCTATTTTGGGAAAAATATTTAAACCTTTCTCATGATTATGCACTGCTCTTAAAAACCTGCCCATGAAAGTCTAAATGGATTTAAAGCAGATAAAGTAGACAGCAGCTGTCTGTACTCCTAAAGAAGTCCTTTATTATATATAGAAGAGTGCACCATTATATTAAACTTAGTGGACTTCTCTGATATCTTTAAAATGTGATCAAATTATTAAGCATTGAATTCATATCTTAACATTTTAGGATCATCTCAATTGCATAAAATTAGGTGAAAATTAAGAACTTTAAAAAATTGCTAGCTATTTCAGATTATATGTACAATTGTTTTCTCCATTTTTATAGGGAATTGAGAATACAACAAGACAATATTTTTCACATTAAAATTTGTTCATAATGTTATTGTTCAACAGTAGCGTTAAATAAAGCCCTAGCATTTGTTATGCAAAGTATGTGGCCCATCACCAGTAGGAGTCTGTCTAAATCAGCTTCAAAACTTTTTTAAGGGATGTTTTTCTCAGACTTCACTCTGTGTCGCATGGGCTGTGGGTTCGCAGCATGGTTTGTGTCACTATCCACAATTGTGACCCATCTTTTTGTTGGTTCTACAACAATAGCCTGACTCCCCTCTACAGAGACTGGTGATCCAAAAGAAGGGGCTCTGTATCTTCCTTCTGGGTATTTTTATTTTATTTCATGCTATTAATGAGACTCCCCACTGAATAATCTTTTATAATATGTGGTGACTGAGGAAAGGACTTGTTAATTGCCATCTGAAATATGTTCATCTTGGTTCCAAATTCAAAATTTAGAGTTTATAAGGCATCAGCATAACATGACCTTTTAAAATATGTTTATTCACTTAACAGATGCAAAACACTTACTAAGTGCCAGGCACCGTTTAGTGCTTGACAAATATTAGCTCATCTAATTTTCATAACAACCTAGCTATGTACTATTACTACATCCCACGGCTCAGAGACACACAGCCAGTAAGTAGTAAAATTTCCAATAAGTGTTTCAGGATAAGTGGCATCAGAAAATAGTGTATGACTTGCCGCCAGTGTCAAATCACAGAGCTCTGTGCCATGTATTACTGAAGCATGAGCCATATTTTCTCTGCCTGGAAACGAAGTTTGCCTGTGGGGTGAGGATGAGTGTTTTAGACTGAATAAACACTAGAAGAGCTTACTGAGGGACTTGTGGACACTCTGTCTTCGTGAATCTTTATAAAGGAGACAGAAAAATCTCTTTGGAGTGACTTTGGATCAGAAGTGTTTGGAGCAGAGAAATGAGACTAGTTAACTTGAGTTTTATGCATCTTCCAAAGAGGCTTCCCTTGCACAAACGTGCTCATCATGAACACCTCCAAGCAACGTGAAAAACTGATTGTGAGACAATGTGCCTTGAAAAGAGCAAAACACAAGCAACGAAAGCAAAAATCAACAAGTGGGATGACACCAAAGTAGATGGCTCCTGCACAGCAAAGGAAACAATCAACAAAATGAAAAGGCAACCTACATAACCAGAGAAAATATTTGCAAACTATATATCTGATAAAGGGTTAAATCCAAAATATATAAAGAACTCATACAACTCAACAGCAAAACAAACAAGCAATCCAATTTAAAAATGGGCAGAGGACTTGAAAAGACATTTTTCCAAAGAAGACATACAGATGGCCAATAAGTACATGAAAAGGTGCTCAACATCACTAATAAGAAGGGAAATGTAAATCAAAACCACAATGAGATATCACCTCACATCTGTTAGAATGGCTGTTATCAAAAAGACAAGAGATAATAAATACTGACAAGGGTGTAGAGAAAAGTGATCCCAGGTGGACTGTTGGTGGGAATTTAAATTGGTACAACTACTATGGAAAATGGTTCGGAGATCCCTCCAAAAGATTAAAAATAGAACTACCATATGATCCAGTCATGTCACTTCCGGGTATATATCCTAAGGAGATGAAATCACTGTCTCGAAGAGCTATCTGCACTCCCAGGTTCAGAAGAGCATTATTCTTAATAACCAAGACATAGAAACAACTTAAATGTCTAACAACAGATGAATGGATATACACACACACACGCACACACACACACACACACACATACGGAGGGATCTTAAGGGCATTATACTAAGTGAAATATCAGACAGAGGAAGACATATATTGTATGATCTCACTTACGTGTGGAATCAAAAACATCAAACTCATAGAAACAGATAGTTGAATGATGGTTGCCAGGGGCTGAGGGGTGGGGGAAATGAGGGGATGCTGGTCAAAGAATACAAACTTTCAGTTATAAGATGAATAAATTCTGGAGATCCAATGCACAGCATGGTGACTATAATTAACAATGCTGTACTGCATATGTGGAAGTGGCTGTGAGAGTAGAGCATTAATGTTCTCACCACAACAACAACAACAAAATGACAATTAAGTAAGGTGAAGGATCTCTTCACTAACCTTATTGTGGTGAATATTTTGCAATATATACTGTATCAAATCATCACAATGTACACCTTAAACTTACACAATGTTATATGTCAATTATATCTCAATAAAGCCGGGAGAAAAAGGGAGCAGAATATACAACTTTTTATCTGGGTTCTTGTTACTGCTTTGAAATGATCACATGTGTCCATGGACAAGAGAAAGAATGTGACGTGTAAGACAGTGAAAGATCTTCAGTGCTGAGACTCTGCTTGACTTCTCCCTCCTCTGTTTCCCCAGTTGTGACTAGACATGCAGTCAATTTATGTTCGTTTTAAAGTTTTGAAATTACATTTGAAATTCCATTTGGGGAGCTTCAGCTCCTGGGGCCCGAGGCACACTCTTTTGAGTAATGGGAATGATCCTAAAGTGATCCAAAACTCCATCCGGTGAATAATAGGAAAGGTAAAGCTGAAAAGTAATGAGACTGTTTTCCCCATGCAATTCCTCACCTGCCTCTGGCGATACTTCCTGAAGATTCAGGCCCATCACACTCTGGCAGCGCCATCGCAGAACAGCTGTGTGGCCTCTTACAGCACCTCCCCTGAATGGTGTATTGTATATGTTTGCCATATTGGTTGGAAAAACTTCCATCTTGTCACTTCAAAGTCATAGCACTCATGTCAAGGTACATTAAGAAAAAGCGTTTCATTACATGATTCTTCACCACATGCATAAGAAAGGCAAGTCTAAAAATGCCACGTCTCAGAGACAAAATCAGCATTCTGTAACCAGAAGGACCCGAGTTGCGCACAACCTGAACTGGAAAAAAGGAAAAAATGCATGGCAGTCTTGTATGTTTTATTCCAATACTCACCTGGTTTACAGAAATAGGCTTTTCCTTTCCTATTCAAGTACATGAGCTGTGATCCTATTCAAGGCATATACACTCCATTACATCAAGAGATATGTACAAGCATTCACATGGAATCTACATGGCAGGACATGTTAACACCTGTCTGATTCACGCGTAGGCTTTTCACGGGATCTCTTGGGAGTCAAGGATAGGACCTAGTCAATGTTCTAGAAAACCCTGTATGTTTAATTTCTTTTAAATGTTCCAGTTCCTTTAGGACCATCTTGTCCGGGATTACCCAGGTGCTATCTACTCAAAAGAAGCATCAAGAGCTGCCATCACCTCAAATGGCTGCGGGTGCTTAGACACTGATGAGGAACAGCATGAGCACATCCATACTTAGAGACGCAACAAGAGTCCTTTAATGAAGTCATGACTATGGTATGAGCAATACAACCATCAATCATAACAAAATTCTACTTAATTGGCCTAAAGATAAACAAGAGGGATCATCATCACCCTGCCAGGGTATATAAAGGGCCCAGAGCAGGAGGAAGACATTCACACCTGAGAACACTCAACTCCTCTCACCAGCCCAACCCAGCCCAGACCCAGACACCACCATGACAGGCTCCTGCTGTGGCTCCACCTTCTCCTCCCTGAGCCTTGGGAGAGGCTGCTGCCAGCCCTGCTTCCGCCGCGACCCCTGCTGCTGCCGCCCCGTGTCCTGCCAGACCACCGTGTGCCGGCCCGTGACCTGTGTGCCCCGCTACACGCGCTCCATCTGCGAGCCCTGCCGCCGCCCCATCTGCTGTGACCCCTGCTCCCTGCAGGAGGGCTGCTGCCGCCCCATCAGCTGCTGCCCCACGTCCTGCACGGCCGTGGTCTGCCGGCCCTGCTGCTGGGCCTCCACCTGCTGCCAGCCCATCTCTGTGCAGTCCCCCTGCTGCCGGCCCCGCTTCTGCCAGCCGGCCCCCTGCCGCACTGTCTGCAGGACCTCCCGCTGCTGAGCAGGGCACTGGCTGCCTGCGGCAAGCAATCAACCTTCTGGAAAAGTCATACTCCCATTTCTCTACCTAACAAACCTCCTGCCCTGAGCCATCAAGACTCCAAGTCAACTAGGAGTTGGATGGAGATCCAGACTCATCTATTAAGGCTTGGGCTGTTCTCAAGTCTTTGTTAACAGTAGAAACTTCCTTCTTTTCATCTTAGACCTTGTCTTGTGGCATCTTTGTTTTCTAATAAACTTCCCTTCTTTGGCCTAGCAAACACAGATTTGGTTTTACTTATTCATTCTAACATTTTCATTAAATTTAAACATAACAAAATGTACCAACTGCCTACCGTCTGCAAGTCACAGACTGTATGGTATACAACAGAAGTTAAAATTGACTTAAAAATTTTCCCCTCTTCAAGAAACTTCTAGGGAGGTGAATGAAATTCACAATGACTCAACTGAAAATTAGAATATGAAGAAAAGTACAACACACTATGGTGTCGACAGAGAAGTCATTATTGACTAGGGAGACCAAGAAAGATTGGAAAGGAAGCTAGCATTTTAGATGGGTTAAGATTTTGGGGTCTGCAGGGAAGATGCCACCCTCAACAATGGAAACGTTGTATAGAAGGAAGGGTTGTTCAGAGGATAGTTTGGTGGGAGCACTGGATATTTATAGAGTAATAGTGAAAGGTAAATTTGGAAAATTTGTGTGCTTTGAATACTAGCCAAAGGAGTATGCCCTTAATTCTCGACGCACTAAGGAGCTCTTGAAAGTCTTGGGGCAAGGGAATGCCCTGACAGGAGTTGGGCATTGGAATGATTCCTGCGGTAGCTGCTTATAAAAACAGAAGTTCAAAGGCTAGATGTGTAAGGACTATACAGAAATGAATCAAGAGGCCATTGCCCTGGTCCAAGTGATACATAACAAAAACTGAACTAGGATGATGGCCGTGGAATGGAGAAGACACGAAGAGTATGGCAGACATAGAAACCCAGAAGGAACATTAACTCATCTGAATGTGGGAGACAAAAAACAATTAGGAATCAAATGTGACATTGTAATTCTAGGGGAAACTCTTCCGGACAGAACAGACTTAAAAGAATTTTAACATATTTATGCTTATTTCCTGTGTGTTTAAAATCCCTACTCCGTAGTGTGCCGTGCCTACCACTATTTCTATTCTTAAGCTATTATAAAATATTTTTTTTAAAACAGGAGACAGAGAGTTTTACTAACTCTAATCGATCCTGGAAAGCAGCACAGTATCAAGTAAAATGAAGTGATCCAGGACTGAGGGGTAGAAGTTTGGGATCCAGCTCTTCCAGCTGTGTACCAGCTGTGTACGTGGAGCAAGTCACTGACCTCTCGAAAATGCAGCCTCTGCTAGACTTAATCGTATTCTAGCATCAGCTGATGCTAAGATGAAATTAGAAGTTGTCTGCAGCACGACATCAATGTTCCACTTTAGAGCTTTGACGGGAATGGTTCTGTGTTTGACTCTTTTCCTTGATTAATTCTTTGTATCAAGACTATGCTGATTTGTGCACTAGAGCGAGACATGAGGTGGGAAGACTGAATGTTGCCTTCTGTAGAACCCTTTAGTGCTCCATGCATAATAGGATTTAGTAAACACGTGCTGTTTATAATAAGAATGATGTCAGTTTCTACACCTATAAAATTAAATGGTTGGACAAGATGATTTATTAAGTTTTTGATCTCCAATATTTGATGATTCTATCTAACCACCTTTCATCTTCATACCTACAGTCATGGTTACCTTGTGACATGAACATCTTTAGCGATACTTGCATGAATCACATTCTAATGTAATTCTATCACTGTACAAATCAATACCTCCACCTCATAAAATCTAACTATGTGCTTCTATCCATGGTTGGCAGGGAGGAATAAACTTACCACAAGCATAATGATGTATTCTTTTGGCCATCACTTTTTTTTTTAACCTCCCTCCATGTAGCCCTAAACTTCCAATGGAAAATCACATTCTTTCTTTTAGGAACCACCAGGAATTGTTTCAATTTTTATTTTGCTGAAATTTATCTTAATCCCTTTGCACTTAGACCTACTGAACGACATTTGATCATCTATTTCCTAACCCGCCTCCCAAGCACCGTGATCCAGGAAAAGTATTTCCTACCTCCTACTTTTTCTTTTATTCGTTCCTTTTATAAATTTGATTGTCATACTCTTTGGTCTAACATCTTTTCATAGGATATAATGTGTAGTTACATAAAATGACATAAACTGAAAATGAATCCAACTTTTGAGAAATAAATACTGTCTAGATAATCCATAAAGCAGTGACTTTTCTTTCATAGAGAAGTATAAATTACACTTAAAATTTTTTGTGATTTTTTTCCTAATTACTGGACATACATTTTAACCTTTCTTTTAAATATGTGCTAACAAAATAGCCACAGTAAATTGGGATGAAACAGGGTTTGCTCCATATATCCTCCTGAGTGATAAATGTTTCTTCAAGTCTGAATGTGTGAAGCTCAGGAGAGATCTTGAAACTGGATCGATCCAATTTCTGGAAAGATCTATGAAATTCTATGAATATGGAGTTTATCAGAGTTTCTATCTGGCTGGCTGTGGAGACTATACTCTCATTGATCTAAAAAATGTAAAGATAGCCTTACATGAACGATGGTCAATGGTTAAGAATGTTCTTCTGGAGACTTGAGTTTTGGTGACTATGACCCCAAAATTGCGTTGTCTAACGAGTGAGAGTCACCTTGTCAGGTGATGTGATCATATGTGCAGAATGGAGGCTGAGACTTGAGGGGAAATTACAGTGCTGTTTGGAAACAAAGCATCAACACTTCTACCAAGAACGAACACATTTGGTGAGTATTAGCTGAGCAACAAGGAAAAATCAATTTGGAGATATCTTTAAAATAACTCAGTATTTGAACAATCAGTGAGACCTGGAAAAGCCTGTTTAAAGAGTAATAAGATAAAAATGCTGTCCGTGACAAACATGGGAAATGGCCAAGGCCTATAAAAGGCCCCAGCAGAACAAGCAGTCCCAACTCAGAAACTCCTGCAAGCAACCCAACTCTCAACCCAGCTCCTGACACCATGGCCTGCTGCTCCACCAGCTTCTGTGGATTTCCCAGCTGCTCCATCAGTGGGACCTGTGACTCCAGCTGCTGCCAGCCAAGCTCCTGCCAGACCAGCTGCTGCCAACCAAGCTCCTGCCAGACCAGCTGTGGCATCGGTGGTGGCATTGGCGGTGGCATCAGTGGTGGCCAAGAGGGCGGCTACGGAGCTGTGAGCGCCCGCACCAGGTGGTGCCGCCCTGACTGCCGCGTGGAGGGCACCTCCCTGCCTCCCTGCTGCGTGGTGAGCTGCACCCCCCCATCCTGCTGCCAGCTGCACCATGCCCAGGCCTCCTGCTGCCGCCCATCCTACTGTGGACAGTCCTGCTGCCGCCCAGCCTGCTGCTGCCAGCCCACCCGCTGTGAGCCCATCTGCTGTGAGCCCATCTGCTGTGAGCCCACCTGTTGAAAACATCCTTCTGATGGGAATGCTGAGAAAATGGCGCTTCAAAACTAACCACAATGGAGTCCCAATAAACTGAGCCCCCAAACCTATAACCCAGTTTGCAACCTCTTGTTACATGGCTACATAATTTCCCTAAGAGGTAAATTAATTTGTAATGGAAGACAAAAGTATTTCATAGACCCAGATATCAAGAGAAGTCCTACAATGTGAAAAGGATGTGGAATACTTTACTATAAATATCGTCTGAAATATTTCAACAGCTCGTTGGGTTTAGATTTAATAAAATTTGTCATTCTTCAGTGATGAAGTCGTTGTTGGAGGTTTCTTTTCTTTGAAATTTGTTATTGATATTGGAGTACTGGGATTTTTCAAAATCTCAGTAAATGTGGCATGGCGCTATGGTTTTTCTTTATTATTGTGCTTTTAATAATGGTCTTTAAAAGGTGGTTTTCCTTTGTTTTGCCATTAAATTGGCCAATACTCTGCAGCCAAAATATATGATTAAAAGAATACATCGGTATTTAGGAACTGCTTCCCCAGGTCCTCACATGTGCGAAGTGATGGGCTCGGAGTTCCAGAAGATCAGTTCTACAAAAAGGAATTTTATGTTGTTTAGCTTCTTGAGATATTGCCAAACCCACTCATTTCATTCATATATGATTCTGTGTACAGTTCTGCCCATCAACAAGGGTATAAAAAGGATAATACGTAATTGGAAAGACAGTAAACACAAGATTTTACAGTAATACCATAAGATGTAAAGACATCCTGAGTTCTAGTCCCCACTTTGTAGCTAACCATCCATGAATTCTTGAGCAAGTCCCTTCACCTACCTGGGCACCTATTTCTAACCTGGAATATGAGAGAATTGAGCTTTATTACTTACAATATCCTTTCCAGGCATAAGATAGTAGGTCACTTGCTAAATAGGCGACACACTGACAATTAGTCCCTTCAGATTCCCAAAGGGGAAAAAATATTCAGTGGTCAAATAATTTTGTATGTGTGATCACTATATTGAAGTTTTATATAAAAAGCACATTAGAATATTAAAGGGACTGGGATGTCCTGCAATCAAGGAATCTCTACAGCCATCACTCCCAATTTCATTTAACCAGGGAATCCTCCATTCACTTATTGACAACTAACATCCTGTAACACTAATCTTCCTCAAAATATACTTTGGAAAATGATGAAAGGGAATTTGATGATGAAATGATGGATGATGAAATGATGCTCATCACTTCATTTCATTCAAAGGGAATGATGAAATGAAATGATGTTTCTATAATACCTATACAATTCTCTCATATATTGTGAAGTAGAAAAAAAAATAAATGTCCATCACTGGGATGTATTTAAATCAACATGATGTTGGCATACACTAACCCCATGCTTATTCTAATCTCCAGAGAGAGTTCTAGAAAGAAGTAAGGATGAAATAAAAGACACATAATAGAGCTTCCATTCTACTGGATAAAATCTTTGGCCATAAAATCAAAGTGGTGAGCCAACAGCTAGAGGTAGAGGGCAATGAGGAGTGATTGCTTAAAGGTTATTAGGTGCTCTTCTGGTGTGATGAAAAAGTTTTGAAACTAGAGAGAGGTGTGGTGGTTGCATAATATCGTGAATGCACTAAATGCCACTCAACTGTACACTTTAAAATGGTTAACTGTATGTTATGTGAATTTCACCTCAATTTAAAATAAAAAATCAAAGGGATGGGTGTCCACCAGCACAACTTCACAAGAATTAGAAAAAGGCATTACCTTTTGGTGGACATAGCCCAAGAAATACACAGCTTGTTGATCCTACAGCTCTTTGTGTGAAGAACAAGATTCTCCTTCCTCTGAGGGCACAGAGCCCCCATCACGGCACAGCCTACAAATTCACACACAACATCTCTCAAACAAGGTCAACACTCTATTCCCCCCATATACTACTCTCCTGTCTCCCATCAGGTTGGGAAGATTTAGGTTGGATGCACTTCTTACTTAGAAGGGCTTCAGCTCAGAAGCATCAAAAAGAGCCAGGCTGGCACTCAAGAGGGAAGAGAAAGATCTTGTTACATGGTTTAGGATAAAAAGTTGGGAATGTTCAGGGGCTGGCCCAGTGGTGTAGTGGTTAAGTTCACACGCTCCGCTTCAGTGGCCCAGGGTTCATGGTTCAGACCCTGGGTGTGGATCTACACACCACTCATCAAGCCATGCTGTGGCAGTGTCCCACATACAAAATAGAGAAAGATTGGCACAGATGTTAGCTCAGCGACAATCTTGCTGAAGCAAAAAGAAGAAGATTGGCAACCGATGTTATTTCAGGGCCAATCTTTCTCACCAAAAAATAAAAAAGTTGAGAGTATTCATTTGGTTGGTGCATGAATCATGCCTTATTTCTCAGGAATCTAAGTAAGGCAGATGCAACTGATTTCAAGAACTGATAAAAGAGAGTTTAAGGAATTGGAAGAACCCCCAAAACTTGTAACTAGAAAAATGGAACCTGACATCTTAAAGAAAGATAACTCAACCCATTAGTATCTATAAACAGAAGACAAAAATTCAAGAATAACAAACAAACACATCCTCTCTTTTTGTGGTACTGGAATGGCCTGGGGCCCTAACTTAAACGAAGTAATGAAAACCAAAAAGAATAGGCACAGTAATTTAAAAAAAGCTTTAAATGTAAAGGTACTGGTATTTTTTTTTTCCCAAAGAAGACATAGATAAGGTACCCAGTATTTAAACAGGGTAGAAAATCTACAGAGGGAAGCATCACCAATGATACAGCTTCTTACTCTATTTGAATGAGAAAGAATCAAGAAGAAGTGGATTTAAGCGGTAGGAGGAAAGAACTTTATTTTCTTGATTTCTTTGGAGGAGCTAAGGGAATGTTCAGATTAGTCTTCATTCTGTGGCACAGGAGGAGAATTCTCAAATTTTATGCATCATATCTTATGTTATGAGTAATTTTAAGTATCAGTTTGATTGGGCTAAGGGATGCTCAGATAGCTGGTAAAACATTATTTCTGGGTGTTTCTGTGAGGGTGCTTCCAGGAGAGATTAGCATTTGAAGCCATGGATTGAGTAAGGAAGATGGATCATCCTCCTCAATGTAGGTGGGCACCAGTCAATCCGTTGAGAGTCTGAATAAAACAAAAAAGGTGGAGGAAGGACGAATTTGCTCTCTTGCTTGAGCTGGGACATCCGTCTTCTCCTGTCCTTAGAATTCAGTGCTCCTGGTGGGACTTCTCAGCCTCCGTAATTGTGTGAGCCAATCCCTCATAATAAATCTATCTATCTATCATCTATCCATCAATCTATCCTATTGGTTCTGTTTCTGTGGAGAACTCTGACTAAAACACTTTATTATTAATAATTCTGTAAGGGCAGCTAAAGACCAGAAACATGAAAATTGAGTTAAATTTTGCACTGAAGGAGATGTTGAAAACAACGCCACAGTAGAAAAGCACAGAAATGGAAATCTGATATGCAACACTACTATCTCCAGTGCCCTTATTAATATGTATTTCAACTGCTCAAACATGTGAACTTTTTGCAAGGGAGTTAATAAATCTTTTTTGTATCGAAGATTCTGCTGAATTTATATATGAATTTAGATAGCTCCTAAGATTGTAGCAATGACAAATCCACACATTTCAAGCATCCAAGGTGGAAAAATAGCTATTCAAAGAACCTGTGATGTAGATTTGCTTAAGGAGAAGAAGCGAAAGATTCACAAAGAACCCTATCATTTAATTCAAATTTGATGTGGGATTTGAAAATGTCTTAAGAGTTGTGATCGATACTCAAAGCTGTTATTTCTGGAGAAGCAGAACTAACACTTGGTTCTGGTCCAACCCTGTGAGTGGCATTTTAACTTCCGTTTGCCTGTAATAGAGTCCATGCTCCATGGAAGCCAGATCACCTCTCATTGCACCTAAACAAAACCATCTTCAGCTGCCTCATTCAAATCATACAAATTTTCCAGTGAATTGGATTAGTCTCTAGCACCTACAGTAAACTGCTACTGCAGATCTAACACACTATAGTATGCCACACACTCCAATATTAATATATTAAGAGTATGATTTTTATGCAGTTAAGAACATTTATTCTCATGACAAGATAAAAAATTTTGTAGCTATGCGTGGTGATGGTTGTTAAATAAACTTATTGTGGTGATCGTATCACAACATATACATATATCAAATCATTATGTTGTATGCCTAAAAATAATACAATCTTATATATCAACTATGCCTCAATTTTTAAAAAATTTAAATCTATAGACTATCGTAAAATCAAAGAATAGATGATGTCACAAGTCAAGCAAGTTCACTTTTTTGGCACTTGAGATTTTCTTGAAGTGTGCTTATTATACAGTCTAAAAAATAAAATAAAATCTCTAGAGAAATCTCTAATAAACGGTGCTATTATTTACCGTAAGCTCTGCCTTTCTTCCCTTTACTCTCAAAAATGCCCAAAAGAAGAGGGCAAATTTTCACATCTGGCTTTCAGCCTTCGATTTTCCCTAAAACAACTGCTTACGTGGAAAAGGGGGAATTGATTGTAGGGGTTAACAGTTTAGTGTGGAGTCAGATGTCATGGGTTCAAATCTCAGATTCAGCACTTCTTAGTGTGAACTCAGAGAAATGACTTAAATCTGTTTGTGGCTCAGTTTCCTCACATGAATGATGGGAATAGCAATGATACCTATGCCATAGGATTGCTGTGAAAATTAAATGAATTGGTACAAGCAAAGCACTCAGAACTGTTTGGGCACGTGACAAGTACTCCAAAAATGTTATCAGTGACAATTCATCCACATTTCTGGCCAGCTGAACCACTTTGCTTCACAGGCAAAGTGAAGATGGGAAAGGTAGAGAAGGGGCAGCAGTCAACACTGGAGGCCATGTGACTGAGAATTATACTGTCACGTGAGACCCAAGAGATCAATTATCAGAGTTAACACTGAATAATATTGACATTCCCTAAAGGTGAGGCATCAGTCAATTAATCTTTGGGCAATGAGCAAATTTTAACAAATATGAGGAATTAGGGGTTATGCACCCAACAAATGCTAGTGACTACTTGACCACGGTAAAGAAACTTAATTAAAGACCAAATTAAATCAACTTTTAAAGGCTTTCAAAAGGTTGAACAAATAACTCAATTTGTTCAGGGCAATTATCATTCAGAGACAAGTTATTTTAAACACAAATGAGGAAGAGACTTTGGGAATTATGTAAATAATAGCTGGCCAAGGCTTATAAAAGGCCTGAAGTGGAAGTCGCTGCACAAACTCAAAACTTCTCAAAGCAACCCAACTCTCAACCCAACTCCTGACACAATGGCCTGCTGCTCCACCAGCTTCTGTGGATTTCCCAGCTGCTCCATCAGTGAGACCTGCAACTCCAGCTGCTGCCAGCCAAGGTCCTGCCAGACCAGCTGCTGCCAGCCAAGCTTCTGCCAGACCAGCTGCTGCCAGCCAAGCTCCTGCCAGACCAGCTGCTGCCAGCCAAGCTTCTGCCAGACCAGCTGTGGCATTGGCGGTGGCATTGGCGGTGGCATCAGTGGTGGCCAAGAGGGTGGCTATGGAGCTGTGAGCTCCCGCACCAGGTGGTGCCGCCCTGACTGCCGTGTGGAGGGCACCTCCCTACCTCCCTGCTGCGTGGTGAGCTGCACCCCCCCATCCTGCTGCCAGCTGCACCATGCCCAGGCCTCCTGCTGCCGCCCATCCTACTGTGGACAGTCCTGCTGCCGCCCAGCCTGCTGCTGCCAGCCCATCTGCTGTGAGCCCATCTGCTGTGAGCCCATCTGCTGTGAACCCACCTGCTAAAAGCCAGGTTACTGATTGCCAACTTGAAGTTTCAACTTCCAGCTCAATTCATGACCTAAGAATCTCTTCAACCACCACTGGACCATTAACAAGTTCTTGACCTTTTATCTGGCTTTTGTTGTGGGAGTTACCAAATATTTGGGCCCCACAGACCTATCTGATTCCGTTCAATACTGGAAAGACATTGATCTCCCCACTGAGTCTGCCAAAATACAAATTTGGCTCACAAAATGGGAAAACCAATTTGCCTTGGGACCAATCTTCAGCAAGCATTTGATCCTACTTTCTGTGTTTCAGTGCTGCCAAGGTCATGGAAGAACCATCTGCCCTTCTCTGATACATTCACCTCCTATACTCCACAGTCCTGCAAATTGCACTTCCTATGAAAAAGGAATAATATACTAAAGTCAAATAAATTATATCTGTTTGGTGCAGCAAACATATCTCTTTTTCTTCATTGAGTGTGCTCATGATGTATGTTTAATAGAAAATCATACGAAAGATTTTTAACCTGGTTTTGATATCCCACACTGCTCTTCTTACACTACATTAGGAAATTTGACCAGATCCAATGGAGGTTAATCCCCATAAAATGACACAGCAACGGTGGTTACTGAGGGCCTCAGAAATGGCACAGGCTCTCTTACCATATCCTGACCTCACACAGTGCTTTCACAACTGGAAAGTTAAAGTCAGCACCTCTGAATCCAGAGCCAGAACAGGACCTATTCTTTCATGTCTGTTAAAGGAATGCTTTTCCAGGAAATCTTCAAACAATGGTAATGTATGCTGATAAAACACACTCTTCCATTTACCTGTAGTCTTGCAGAGCAAAGCAAGAGAACTATAAGTTGGGGAAGCCTCTCTGAGGATACGTGCTTTCGGTTAGATGGGGATGTTTACTCCTAAAACTTTATTTCCCAGTTTCTAAACTGAAAGTGAGAATAATAGAGATTTTGCTCTAATTTTAGAATCAACACATCTACTTTGGTTTAAAATGTTCACTCAGAAATACACATTTATTTATTATACGTATACATGCATTTATATATAATATACAATGAATTTGTACATATTTAAGCACAAGTATCAGGGAATGCTTCATGAATTTGGGTGGCTTTTTGGACAAGGATTAAGATTAATTCATTGGAATTGGAACTGGAGGGGACTGAGTTCTTTTTTTTTTTTTTTTTTTAATTTTATTTTTTCCTTTTTCTCCCCAAAGCCCCCCAGTACATAGTTGTGTATTCTTCGTTGTGGGTTCTTCTAGTTGTGGCACGTGGGACGCCGCCTCAGCGTGGTCCGATGAGCAGTGCCATGTCCGCGCCCAGGATTCGAACTAACGAAACACTGGGCCGCCAGCAGCGGAGCGCGCGAACTTAACCACTCGGCCACGGGGCCAGCCCCTGAGTTATTCTTTTTTGTTGTGAATATTACTTTGGTTAAAACAACAATGCCTTATTCATTCATGGATTAATGAAAATCAAGAAATTAGAAAGCATGAACAAAGGATAACATGTAAGCAAAGACTCAGTTTCCATAACACATCACCTAGAGATCTGATCCCATCCAGAAAATACCCTTGAACAACAGAACAGAAATGGAGACACATTTTGCCCCTTTGATTCTAACCACCGACCACTTTCAGGTATCACTACCTAACAGCTCCTGCTGAGAAAAGCAAATATATAATAAACTTAAAAATATAAAATAAAAGTGACTTTGGTAAAATGCAAATTTGACTAGTTATCATTATCATACACTGCTAATCATTCATTCCCTCTTTTATTCAACAAGCATTTACTGAGCATCTGTAAGCAAATGGTCCAAAAGTACTATGTAGGATACCAAGGTAAATCAGACATGGGAAGATCACACCCTTAAAGCATGAATCATCTGGTAGAGAAATTATACAATTTTAGCCCTGAAGGTGTCTGAGAGATCCTCTCATCCTACAGATGAGTAAACCAATGTTCAGAGGGATTAAGTGACTTTTCTGAGGTTCACAGTCCCTTAATGGTAGAACAAGTTTGAGAAGACTATTTAGTGTAATTAATTAATTCTCAGTTAAGAGCTCAGTCCCCTACATCACGTGACCATCTCATACACCTAAATCTGGATCCAATTAAAGCCTCCTTCAGCTTAAAATTCTATGATTTTTTAAAATTCAAAAGCACGAACTAAAAGCAATTGAGGATTTATCAATTGGGGGATGATCGAATAAACTGTGGTATGGTCATACTCTGGAATACTGCATAGCTATTTAAAAGAATGAGTAATGTATATAGGATAGGCCAACAAAGTGCATAACCTAGGTGAAATGGATAAATTCCTACAAACACTCAACCTATAAAAACTGAATCATGAAGAAATAGAAAATCTAAATAGATCTATAACTAATAAGGAGATTGTATCAGTAATAAAAAAAAAAAACCTCCCAACAGAGAAAATTCTAGTATTAGAAGGCTTTACTGTGAATTCTACCAAACATTTAAAGAAAAATTAACACCAATCCTCCTCAAACTCTTCCAAAACATTGAAGAGGAGGAAACACTTCTGAACTCATTCTGTGAGGTCAGTATTATCTTGATACCAAAGCTAGACAAAGACACTACAAGAAAAAAAAACTATAAACCAATATCCCTGATAAGTATTGATGCAAAATTTTTCAACAGAATACTATTAAACAGAATTCAAAAGCACATTAAAAGGATTATACACCATGACCAAGAGAGATTTTATCCTAGAATGCAAAGATGGCTCAAAATATGAAAACCAATCAATGTATTACATCACATAGCATAATGAAGCGGGGAAAAACACATGGTTATTTCAATAGATGAAGAAAAAGCATTTGATGAAATTCAACACTCTTATATGACAAAAAAGCAAAACTCTCAACAAACTAGGAATAAAAGGAAATTTCCTCAGCATAATAAAAGCCATATTTGAAAAGCCCACATTATCACCATTCTCAGTGGTGAAAGACTGAAAGCTTTTCCTTTAAGATCAGGAGCAAGACAAGGATGCCCACTTTCACCCAATCTATTTATCATTGTACTGGAAGTCCTAGCCAGAGCAATTAAGCAAGAAAAAGAAATAAAAGGCAACAAATCAGAAATAAAGAAGTAAAATTATCTCTATTTGCAGAAGACATGATATTATATATAGAAAACCCTAAACACTCCACCAGGAAAATTGTTAGAACAATTCAACGAATTCAGTACAGTTACAGCTACAAAATAAATACACAAAACCAGTTGCATTTCTATACACTAACAACAATCTATCAGAAAGAGAAATTAAGAAAACAACCCCATTTATAATAGTATAAAAAGAATAAATGCTTAGGAATAAATTTAACCAAGAAGGTGAAAGATCTGTACACTGAAAACCATAAGACATTGATGAAAGAAACAGAAGAAGATACAAGTAAGTGGAAAGGTATTCCATGCTCATGGATTGGAAGAATTAATATTCTTAAAATGTCCATACTACCAAAAGTAATCTACAGATTCAATGCAATCCTTATCTAAATACCAATGGCATTTTTCACAGAAATAGAAAAAAATCCTAAAATTTGTATGGGACACAGAAGACTCTAAATAGCCAAAGAAATCTTGAGAAAGAAGAACAAAGCTTCTTGATCTCAAGCTTTATTACAAAGCTATAGTAATCACAGCTAACAGTAACAGTATGTTGCTGACATAAAGGCAGACATATAGACAAATAGAATAGAGTAGAATAGAATAGAATAGAATAGAATAGAATAGAATAGAATAGAATAGAATAGAATAGAATGGGAGAGCCCTTCAATAAACCCTCATACACACAGCCAAATGATTTTCAACAAGGGTGCCAAGACCATGCAGTGGGAAAGGACAGTCTTTTCAACAAATGGTGTTGGGAAAAATGGATATCCATATGCAAAAGAATGAGGTTGGGCGCTTACCTTACACCATATACAAAAATTAACTCAAAGTGGGTCAAAGATATAAATACAGGAGCTAAAACTATAAAACTCTTAGAAGAAAACATAAGGGAAAGGCTTCATGACATTGGATTTGGCAATGACTTTTTGGATATGACAACAAAAGTGAAAAATAGATAAATTGAACTACATCAAAATTAAAAACTTCTGTTCATTAAAGGACAGAGCTAACAAAATGAAAAGGCAATCTACAGAATGGGAGAAAATATTTACAAATCATATATCCAATAATGGATTAATATCCGGAATATATAAAGAACTCCTAAACTCAACGACAAGAGCAACAAAACAATTAAAAATTGGGCAAAGGACTTAGGCATTTCTCCAAAGAAGATATACAAATGGCCAACAAGCACATGAAAAGAGGTTCAACATCACTAATCATTACAAAAATTTAAATCAAAATCACCATGTCAGACCACCTCACACACATTAGAACGGCTACTCTCAAAAACCCAAAAAGCATTGACAAGGACGTGGAGAAATTAGAACCTTTGTGCACTATTAGTGGGAATGTAAAATGGTACAGTTGCTATGGGAAACAGTTACTCAAAAAAGTAAAAATAGAATTACCATATGATCTACCAAGTCTACTTCTAGGCATATACCCAAAAGAATTGAAAGCACAGTCTGGAAGAGATATTTGTACACCCATGTTTATGGTAGCTGTTGGAGGAGGTAATTGAGAGGACGTGACCACCAGTCGACCAAAGAGCTGGATCTGGGCAATCGGAGGCTCCTCCCCTGTCCTTGGAATGCATATTCTGCCTACCCTTCCCATGATGGGAGCCACTTCAAGGATAAAGCCTTGAGAAAGCAATGTGTTGTTAAACCATCTGGACGACATACATGACCAAACCTAGTGAAGGCCTCCATATAAACTTTTAAGATTTTACTACAATTTAATTTTTCAAAAACAAACATGTATAGGAGACCAAACTTTACTGAAGTAGAAGACATATGTGTGTATATGGTGGTTTCTGTTTGTGAAAACAAGAAGAAAGATGTCAAAGAACATGCATCAGACTGGTAATACTGATTATCTCTGGACTACTAGTTTTGGAAGGTATGTGTATCTTTGGGGGAAGGGGGGAAAAATACTAACTTTCTTTATATTCCTATGCACTGTTTGACTTGCTAAAATGTGTATTCATTGCTAGCCCATATTTTTAATTTAGTAGAGTCAGAAAACAATCTATTAGCAAAAGACATTAAAGGTTTCAGGAGAGAATATGTACAGTGATGATCAAAGGAAAAAATACTCCTTAGAGCTCTGAGGACACTATATCTTGCACAAACTGATCATAGACATACGTCTTTCGAATGTTGATGATGAGGTGATAGCTCATGTTTTGATGACACTAATGTTAGTCATTCCAAGTCTGGACAAATTGCTTATGAAATCATGATCCTTAATTGAGTGACCACCTTGGAAGGAAATGTTAAGTTTAGATAAACTCTGCCTAAAGGTTATCAAAGGACAGGTATGACCAAGCAAGCCTGGGCAATGGTTGGCCCAAGTCTAGTCTGTCATGTGACTTGCATAAAGAGGTGCTGCCATGATTGGCTTCCACAATGAGCCTTCACTTGCTCCAGAGGGCAAAGAAGAAACATAATGAGATTTAATTGAGCAATGACAAAGCAGACTATTGAAATGCTATTTATAACTTTCTAAACAACTCAGGTGTTAGCCAATCAGAGACCCACTTTTCAAATAGTATCAAGCAAAGATGCTAAATGTTGGGGAAATACGCAGCTCTAGGGAATGTATAAAAGGCCAGATGTAGAGGGGGCAGCCAAAACTCAGAAACTTCTCTTAACAACACAACTCTCAACCCAACTCCTGACACCATGGCCTGCTGCTCCACCAGCTTCTGTGGATTTCCCAGCTGCTCCATCAGTGAGACCTGCAACTCCAGCTGCTGCCAGCCAAGGTCCTGCCAGACCAGCTGCTGCCAGCCAAGCTTCTGCCAGACCAGCTGCTGCCAGCCAAGCTCCTGCCAGACCAGCTGCTGCCAGCCAAGCTTCTGCCAGACCAGCTGTGGCATTGGCAGTGGCATTGGCGGTGGCATCAGTGGTGGCCAAGAGGGTGGCTATGGAGCTGTGAGCTCCCGCACCAGGTGGTGCCGCCCTGACTGCCGCGTGGAGGGCACCTCCCTGCCTCCCTGCTGCGTGGTGAGCTGCACCCCCCCATCCTGCTGCCAGCTGCACCATGCCCAGGCCTCCTGCTGCCGCCCATCCTACTGTGGACAGTCCTGCTGCCGCCCAGCCTGCTGCTGCCAGCCCATCTGCTGTGAGCCCATCTGCTGTGAGCCCATCCGCTGTGAGCCCATCTGCTGCCAGTCCACCTGTTAAAAGCAAGGTTGCTGATTAGTTAGGAATGAAAGGGGAAGCAGAGCAAAACTGTGCTGATCTCTGAAGAAGTGTTCAATTTTACTTGGTTGCTGAGTATCATAATGTTTCTAAGCTGCTCAGAAATAACAAAAATCTTAGTCAAGACCCTCTTGGATATGCTGCATTAGCCCACTGAACATATATGTCGGTCAGAGTGTCTGAGTATCCTGCCTTGCCTGAGCAGGGTAGGAGAGTGGGGTAGTTCTTCATTTCAGTGACATCTCTGCTCTCCTCCCTATTTCTTGATCCCCATATATTTTCAGATCTGCTTTCTCCTTGAATATCCCCTGTTAATTTCAAATAAAATATTTAAATGTGCAAAGCAAACTGAGTTATTTTCTTCCTTCTACCCTTAAGCTTGTCCACCTTTAGCTGGAATTCAAGAAGAGCGGATTTGCATTTTGATAGTAATCCTAAGGCCTAAACATAAAGTCTAAACCAGAAAGATTAAAGACAAATTACACGATGCTTGAATCCACCAGTTAAAAAAACGTTCCATGCATTAAATAACCTTCATAGTTATTCAAACACATGCTCTAATCTGTTAGGATTAGGTCTAGACTAATGGAGCCACTTCTAGCTAAAAATTTCAGGTTGACCAAAGCTATGGGATTTCTACCCAGTGTACTTCTACTATTTTTAATCTCCTTTCATTTAATATACTAGATGTTCTCCTTTATGCATGCCAATATCTAAAGAAATTGTATTACCTACTAAATAAATTTTAAAATATTTACCATAGAGTCTTTCTTAGATATTATCTACTTTCCAAGAGCATTTCGGTTTAATTTCTATGCCTTAGCCTATTATATTCCTCCCACTGATCCCCAAAATGCTCTCTAGGTTTCAACTCCCAACACTCACCCCTGTTTACTGTAAGTATGTAGAATATCTCTCTGGCCTAGATGAGAGCAGAACAACTAGCTAAGGAGGTACCCAGTGAGCCCCACCATCACCATTTGTCAGACACATGCATTAGAAATTTGAAACAACTATATATTTTGCACTTGGCAAAGATATTCTCTTAAGAAGTTAACACAAAACTAGAACAAAAATACCTTTATCATTTAATTTTTCAATTCTTCGTTAAGCGTTTGAGTACAACAGACAAAATACAACAGGACACTTTAAGAAAAACATTTTCCGAGTTATTTACAAGCTCCCAGCACTTACCCCTATCATTTCATTGGCAGTAAGGATAGATCACACGCAAGATGATGCATTTCAGAGGAGAATAAAATGGATGGCGGTGCCGTCTTCAAAATGTCGTGACTCCCAGATGTTTTTTCCTGAGCCTCGGTTCAACTACTAAATGTAGAAGAAAAATTTCAGCATTTCCTCGTCTCTTTTGATAATAACAAGGTTTCCTTCAAGAAAGGTACCACAGCTTGAAAGTTCCATTTAATCATTCATAAGTGGTACGGGCTTCCATGAATCATCCCTTTACTCCACCCATTCAAAATTAGATTCAGTAAACATTTATTAAGGTTCTTCCAGGAGCTAAGCACTCTGCTAGATACTTTAATATATGCTGTGTTATTTGGTTCAAAAGAAAAGATTCCTGGCCTGGAATATGAACAATATTTACACATTTCAAATTGGTTGAAATCAAAGGAACTATAATGGTAATTTGATTTGATGTTGGAGTAAATGAGTTGGAAGCTTTTAATTATGCATGACCAAAGATACCCTTTCAATTCAGTGGATGTCCTGATGTCTATATTCAAGAGAATTCAGTCTAAATATCCATAAGGAAAAAGTAATCGTTAAAAACAGGAGCACAATTACTCTTAGCCTTAGCGATCTGGACAGAGTGTCACGTGGAACAGCCTCCTCTGAAAATCAAGGGGGTTGACGTGGACTAAAACGGGAGGGCTCTTTGAACATGGGAAACCACAAACATATTCCAAAGAGCAAAGGACCAATATGAGGAGTCCAAATGAAACTATAAAATGAAGTAATTTCTAAACTGCCGCTCATAATACGTCATAAGTATTTTAACATAAGCCAATCATAGGACCACTGAGGAACAAATTTAAACAAAAACAAAGAAAATATGTTAAGAATTTTATAAACAGCGCTGGCTCAGATATATAAAAGGCCCGGCATAGAAGTCACCACCAAAACTCCAACCCAACACTGCTCTCAACCCAACTCCTGACACCATGGCCTGCTGCTCCACCAGCTTCTGTGGATTTCCCAGCTGCTCCACCGGTGGGACCTGTGACTCCAGTTGCTGCCAGCCAAGCTTCTGCCAGGCCAGCTGTGGCATCGGCGGTGGCATCAGTGGTGGCCAAGAGGGCGGCTACGGAGCTGTGAGCTCCCGCACCAGGTGGTGCCGCCCTGACGGCCGCGTGGAGGGCACCTCCCTGCCTCCCTGCTGCGTGGTGAGCTGCACCCCCCCATCCTGCTGCCAGCTGCACCATGCCCAGGCCTCCTGCTGCCGCCCATCCTACTGTGGACAGTCCTGCTGCCGCCCAGCCTGCTGCTGCCAGCCCACCTGCTGTGTGCCCACCTGCTAAAAGCCAGGCTGCTGATTTTCAATTGCCCAGGACACAGTATCTCTGAACACCTAATATCCTCAACCCACCCCTGGACCACTAACAAGTTCTTAGACTTCCATTTGGATTTTTGTTCTCAGGGCTACCAGGTATGTGAGTTCTATCTGATTCCATTCTACAATGAATAGCCTGACTCTCCACTGAGGACACAGAAATGCTGGAACCCACCTCCTGATCATCAAATTGCTTTGAATATGCTATTTCTGATTTTCCTACAGGATGGAAAATTACTGTCATATTGTGGAATTTATGCTTGAGAACTGTCCACAAGTCTAATTTTTCCCTACTTTATGATCTATTTTTAGCTTCTGTTTCCCTAAAAATTTTTTCAACTTCAAAGGCACCGGAGTATACTCAAGCAACTTTCCTCAGATGTCACCAGAGAAAACTGAAGCTCTTCACCCAACATTCAACTTTTAAGAAGTAGGCTAGACTTTCCCATATTTCAACATCTGATTCCATCCTTTTTTTTATCATAATGATCTTGCCTGTTGGCTATTTCAATTATATCTGTGATACAGCGTCTTCTGTCATTTCTTAATAAATATTATACACTAGGCAAAGAAATCATGGTTTGTGTTTTCACTTGTACATAAAATGGGTTAATTGTTTATAATTCAACAATGCCTACTTGAAAGAAATGCATTTGTTTCTTTTTAAAAGAGACTGAAGTCATATATAGTATATCCATTCATTCATTCAAAAAAATTTATTGACACCACTTCTAAAGCAAGAAACTTGGAGATCAGAAAGACGAAGAATTAATTCTTATCCTTGAGGACTTCACCATCCAGAAAGAAAACTATGTGTGGGAAAATAGTTACATACAATGCAATGAGATAAATTGTATTCTCTTAGCAGTTGATAGAAGAAACCATGCTGTAGCTTAGGGATGGATGCTTTCATGACCAATATGCCTTGATAGTCTAACTTTCAATAAGTGCATCACATGAAACATGCGTGTTGGTAACCCCAAGAGTCTAAGAGAAGGATATGAAACAATTACACATGAGACAAAGAGAGGAATCTTTTTTACTTCAGAAAGGGAGTGAAGAAAATAAAGAAGAGAGGAGAGATCTAGTCAAGAAGTCATGAATAGTACTCCATCATCCCTCCCCATTGTTACCAAATTCACACAATCCTTGGGGCGGGTCAACTCTCATGTGAAAACCAGTGAAGGAGCTGAGTTTCATGTCGGGGTTGGTTCAAGGGAAGATGGAGACTGCCGAGGAGCCCGGCAGAGTAGAGGGAATCATAAGAAAGTAATGCCTCAGGAACTCTCAGAAATTATGCAGGTGCTCTGGATGGCCACTGCTGTGGAAAGTAACATCGTGGTTATGTGGACTGCAAGAAGAAGACAGAAGGGACAGTAACAGGATTTCACAACAGAAGGAATCACTTCAGGACCAGAAGGGGCTATGCTGGAGATGGCATCAGGGAAGGCTTCACAAGGGAGGTAATCTTTGAAGTGGGCCTTGAAGATCACTGTAAATGGAAGGAGAAGAGCGAGTAAAAATGAGCCCAATCTGCATGTCTATTAAAATGGCTAGAATTCAAAGCAACACCACCACCAAATACTGGTGAAATGCTGGTGGAGCAACAGGAACTCTCACTCATTGCTGGTGGGAAAGCAAAATGGTACAGCCACTTTGGAAGACAGTTGAGCCATTTCTTATAAAGCTAAACACAGGCTTGCCATACAACCCAGCAATTATGTTCCTGAGTATTTTCCCAAATAAGCTGAAAATTTATGTCCACACAAAAACCTGCATGTGAATACTTATAGCAGCTTTATTTGTAATCGCCAAAAATTGGAAGCAATCAAGATGTCCTTCAATAGGCGAATGGATAAACAAACTGTATTACATCCTTACAAGGGAATACTATTCTGTGATAAAAAGAAATGATTTATCAAGCCACAGAAAGACATAGAAGAATCTTAAGTGCATCTGCTAAAAGAAAGAAGCCAATCTGAAAAGGCTGCACACTATCTGATTCCAACTATATGACATTCGGAAAAAGGCAAAAGGATGGAGACAATACCAAAGATACCAAAGAGTCCTGCCTACTGTGTCCTGCAGAAGTCTGTAGTCCAACACCAAAATACAAGCTGATGAATTAAAAAAATAAAGTTGCAGAAATAGAGAGATAGGACAGGCCAATGAAATCTAAACAGAAGCCAGCTATGGGCTTCTGAGAAAGCATCCCTTTGTTGATAAAAGGGACATGAGTTGCTGGTGCCCCCACTTCCTCCTCACCCTGACTCTTCTTACTTTAAACATAGTATGATCTTGGGGATACAAAATCACAAGAGAATGGGAGAGATGCTGATCCTGATGTGGTGGAGCCTCTGAACCAATGCTAGCAGCTGCCTATCTGTGAGAAGAATAAGCCCTTTGATCAAGTCAATATTTGTTGGTTTTTCCAAAACTGGAAACCTAGACATTCCTAACTGCTACATTATGCAATAGACTGCAGTAAGCTCTCGAGATGATAACTTCCTATATATGACACCTCAGAGGATTTGAGATGCATGAACAGTTTAGTGATGGCAAAAGGACATCAGTTATAAATTCTAAAGCAAAAGTGTGGAGCATTTTTTATTGAGGTTCATTGACCATATTATGAGTAGACGGATAACAAAAGGGATAAGAGAAAATATGTGGTGGTGGGGGGGGGGTGGATTAAGGTAGTAAAGATGGAGAAAATGAAAAGGAAGAGAAAAAACAAAACAGAGGAGAATAGACAAAAGAAGACACGATGAAAAAGACTGGGGACAAGAGGCAGAAAAGAAAAGGAGGAAGAACAATGGGGAAGACATACATGATGGAGAAAGACGGGAACCAACACGACCTTGTTTAGCGCCGTATGCTGTGCCACGTGCTAAATATGCTTCACGTGAACTTTATTTCATTTAATACTTACATCAACCCTCTGAAATACATATTGTTATCCTGGCTTGTAGATGAGGAAAGCAAGTCTAAATGGAGCTAAACAGCTTGCTCAAGTCACATATTCTCATAAAAAGCAAAATAAAATCTGAACCCAATTCTGTCTAACTCCAAAACTCATAGAGAAGGAAATTAAGGAACTAGATGTAAGGAAAAGTGTGGGGAGTTTCAGCAGATTTAAAGACAGCTATTTTAGGCTTCAGAATATGTTCCTCTGTGCCAGTTGCTAAGTTATTGTCTCTCAGCCCACCTGGATAATCCAGGATACTCTCTATATTTAAAGTCAACTAATTAGTATCCTTAATTACATCTGCAAAGTCCCTTTTGTTCTGTAATGTAACATACTCATGGGTGTGACACGTGGGTTCAGAGGTCATGGGGGCCAAAATGATACCTACCACAAGGATTATTAGACACTGAATTGACATCAATTCCTAGAGACTCAAAACGTCACTTTGGTCCACCAATGAAAGTGGTGGCTTATGGTGGCCAGGTAACAGTTGGAGTTTTAGCTCACATTTTAATCACAGTGGCCCCAGTAGGTCCAGAGATCAATTCCCCGATTTGTGAATGTATAATTGGAGTAATCATGCTTGACAATTGGCAGAATCCTCACACTAGCACTCTGGCTTGAGAAATAAAGCTCGTATGGAAGGAAGGGCCAAGTAAAAGCCCCTGGAAGTTCCCCTCATGACAAGGGTAGTAAACCAAAAATGATGCTGTATCTATGAGGGAGTTTTGAAGATGAGTGCCATTATCAGAGACTTGAATAAAGCCAGGGTGGTGATACACACCATCTCCCCACTTACTCACTTGTTTGACCGGTGGGAAAAGTGAACAAATCTTAGAGAATAACAGAATAATTATTTATTATTTTAAACTAATTTAGGTAGTGGCCCCAATTGGAGCTGATGTTCCAGATAGAGTATCTTTAAATGGAGAAAATCAATATAGCCTCTGGCCCCTGATATGCAGCTTGTGACATGAAAAATGCCTTTTCCTCCAGATCAGTTTGTAAGGACCATCAAAGGCAGTTTTATTTTTCCTAGTATGACTAACAGTGACTTTCCAAGTATTGCTTCAGGGCTATGTCAACTCTCCTGCTTTCTGTCATAATATCCTCGGGAGAGATCTTCATCATCTTGACATTCCACCCAACATCCTATCAGTCCACTGCATTGATGACATCATGTAATTGCTTCTGATGAGCAGGAAGCAGCAAGTACTCTAGATGGCGTAGTAAAACCTATGTGAACTCCAGGGTAGGAGGTAAAACCCACAAAAACTGAGGAGTTCACCACCTCAGTGAAGTTCCTGGGAGTCAAACTGTCTAGAACATGTTGAGATCTCCTTTCCAAGTAAAAGAAAAGTTGCTGCGCCTGAATTATCTTCAGCTGAAAAAGCACAACTCTAAGTGGGCTTTTTTTGATTTTTGAAGTCAATATCTAATATATTTGAGCGCGCCACTTTAACCATTTACTGATAACCTGAAAAAGACAGGACCACTGTGCATTCAGCCCTTTCAGGAATGAAGATTAAAATAACCCCTACCAGGTAAAGAACCCAAACAAGTTGAGGTCCTGGCTGAGGGTAAAGAAAACCTGAAATGGGGAGTGGAAGAAGAGCATTATAAATGTCAGCTGTAGCCTTCAACCAATTACAGAAACCAGGATTATAGAAACTATGTATATTTTCTTCCTTGCTTATTTTTCTTCTCTTTTCTCCTTCCCTTGTTTAGTGTCATATGATGTACTCACGCTAAGTAAACTTCACATGAACCTAATTTCACTTAATACTTATATCAGTCCCGAGAAATAGATATTATCTTGGTTTTGTAGATGCATAAATCGAGTCTAAAAGAGGTAAAATGAATTGAATATCTCAAAGACATACCTGCATTCCCATATTCCTTGCAACATTATTCACAATATCCAAAATATGGAAGCAATCTAAATGTCCATCAATGGATGATGGATAAAGAAAATATATCATTTGCATACAACGGAATAT